GGGGTGGCACTGGCATCAGGGTCACATCTTCCAACACCCAGTTGGTTGGGACCAGCCCTATAGACCAGCTCCTGCTGGATGCTGGATGCATCTGGCCAGGATGACTGCAGCTCTTCCCACTCCTGCAGCCTCTTCCTGCACACCTCACAGCTAAACAGTAGCACAGCTCCCTCCTGACCCAGCAGTCTGGGATCTGCCTTGCCCGTGGTATGAGAAAGGGTTTTTTTTTTTTTACTTTGGGTTGGCTCTTGTTGTGCATTCTGAAAGGGCAGGGCAAGATATCATGAACGACATCGTCAACTTTCAAAATGCTTTTTAAAAAGGCACGTTTACAATAAAGCATATATCTAATTATACAATACCATATATATAAATATACTTTCTCAACATCTCCAACTGCTCTAGACCGCAAGCCACTGCTGCCATCTATTTTTGTTTTTAAAGGATACTAAGCCAAGCAAAGATGCACATTTCTAGCATCAAAGTCAATTTCATCACACTCTTCCTAAAATTCCCTCCTTGAGTTTAGTTGATTCAGGTAACAGTGCAGCCTCCCTTATCCCTCCTTATTACATTATAATGCACAGCAAGAGTTAAGTAAAAGGAATATTACCTCTTGAAGGAACTGCATTAGCACTGCTCCTGTCCTTGGCTGAAGTAAGCACCTTTCCCTACATTGTCTCCAAAGCTTTTCTCTGGAGGAAGGACTGTTCTCTGTCATCTTTCACAACGTGTTCTCAAATAAGAAAATAAAAAAAAAAAAACAATAGTTCAGGACCTAGACAATAGTAATAATACCCTACTGAAGGCCAGTTTTCAAGAGTTTGGTTGGGTTCATGGCCTTCCTCTTCTTCCTAACAGCCCCAATTTAGGAGTGCTCTTGTAAGCAGAAAGAAATTTGGGAATTCTTTAAAAACAGAGAATTTCACTGATAAGTAAATATACATTACTTCCACACAGCTGTCCCCTCAGATTGCAGAAATTACTACTACAATTAAAAAAAAAAAAACAAAAAGGCCAGTTTACAAATTCAGATTTTTTCTCTAATGTGGACCAACAGTGGTTAAAGCCCAGACACCTCTCTCATCAATTCATAAATGGAAGCACTTTTTAAGGAGAATAAAATTATTTTAATCTCATAAGTTACTGAGTAAAGAGCTGGCTTTGCTGAAAAATGCTATATATTTTGATGTGCACTCCTATCTGACTGCAAAGAAGGGTGGCTGTAAAATCCATTGACTGTAACAGCAGATATATAGATAACGCCCTTTGCTCCAGGAATATGGATCACATCAAGAGCACAATAAGCAGCCATGCTTCTATGAGAATTAATAGGCTTGTGCTACTCTAAATTGAGTCAGAATCTTGCCATTTTGGATGTAAAAAGAAGTGAAAGGGTTTATTGGCAGGGATGTTTGCAGAAATGGCTTTTTTTCTTCCTTTTAATATAATGAAAGTGAGGAATGTTCAGGAAGCCAATTCTGAATTTGCAAATGCATGTTCTTAACTGGAAACCTGATTCCAAGAATTTCAAGAGAGTCCAATAAAAATCAGCCAGGTTTGATTTCAAACACCAAATACTCAGAACAATTGGATTTGCAGGCCAAGGATTATCTACTGAAATTCCTAGTATGCTCTGAATGACTAATGAATTTGACAAAACTCAACAGCTTTTCTTAGAAAAGCTTGCATGCTTCCATAAAGGGGCAAAATGACTTCTATAAAAACTCTCTATTAGTTTTCCCTAGGCCAACTAAGCATCTGCTTTTGAGGAACCAGGGATTGCTCCTTTCAACAGTAATGCCAAGTGGGAACTGAACACTAAAACAAACAGTAGTCCAAAACTTTGTTCAAAACTCAAATTGGAACTTAATCTCTTTTCTTTCCCTAGTTCTCTGATGAAAAACTTCACTGAGCCTTCAGAAAAGGACACTGATAATAGAAATTAATGCAATCACTCATCTTCTCGCTCTCCAAGAAACAAAGGTTTTGGAAAGCAGTTTTAACAGTGTGTCCCCTTCCTTGTTCTCTGCTCCTGTAGCATCAATACACAGTACTTCTCCCATACAATTCTTGCATGCTGCCACTGGAATCAGGAGTTGGGCTTGACTGAAGCCAGCTACAACACAGCTGCGTCTCCCTCTCTGATGACTGAAGCACCTATAGGATATACACTGCAGGAGGTATTGATGTTCCATCAGCAAATGAAAGAGCACTCTAACAAGCTGTGGATATAATTGTGAACAAATTATTTGTGGATACACAAATGATGCTCTGCCTTTCCCCAATCCCTTTCCCAAGCACAGGCACAATTTTTTTTTTAACACTTGTTCCCTAGTGCTAAATCTCTGAAAAATCCAAAGCCCACGTTCTTCCCACTGACCAGAGGGGAGAAAGGACTGTCATAGCTCCCACAGACAGAAAGTGATCCTCAGCCACCCTTCTTTTTGTACAGATGAGTCTTTTCAGAGCCCCAGGCAAGCCCAGTGACTTTCAGCACCCTCCCCTTTGCACATCATTCCTAAATACCCTTTGCTGCCCAAGCAGAAATAACAACTGCTTCCCCCCAACCCCTTGTGACATGCAGTAAAAGCAACTCCCTTCTTCTGGATTTCCAAACACCTGATGATGCAGAGCACAGCTCCTAAGCCATCTTCCATTGCTCCAGTGAATCAGCCATACAGAAAGGAAGAAATGCCCTACAGCATCTCCTTTTCCTCCTGCACCAACTTGTTTGATTGCACCAAGCATAAGAAAATGAGAATGGCCTGGAGGACAGCAGCAACTTTCTCTATGCTAGAATAAGGAAAGAAGGAGGAGGAGGAACCCAACAACATTAAGAACAATGTTGGGAAGAGGTCTTTAAATCTGTCTCTCCAAAGCCCATATATTCCCAGCTGTGATAGCTCTCACATTACACCAGATGACATTTCTCTCCATATTGTATTATAATTAATAGGCTACTGCAAGACTTTACCAGCTCCTACTTAATAGCATTTCAGTGCTGGGAAGCAGTCATCAGGTAATCTCGCCATGATCTACTGTATCCTTTCTAAACACAGGTTCTGGCTGCCAAGAATGTCACCATAAAAAGATTTCAATCAATACCACTCAGCTCCTTCTTTCAAATACTCCAGGTCTAGGAAGAGAAAGAAAAAAAACAAAAAAAACCCAACAAAACAGTACCCTCCAAACAAAGAGTAAACTGGCACGTGTGTGTGCACGCAGATTGAAGTGAGCAGATGGGAACTCATTATGGCCTGATCTTGCTCCCTCTCTTATACTTTAGTTACTTTATATTTTGGAGCAGGTCTCACTGAGCGCATGGAGACCACTTGCATGGAGGGGGTTAAACTCATGCAATTCTTTCCATTCTCAAGCTGTGCTCTTGTTGCACAACAACAACATTTCAATTGTGATTGGTACAAACAGTTGGGTTTCAATGGCAATCTGTCACATAGGTTTAAGCCCAGTTTTTAACTGATGCAACCTGCAACTTGGGTGGTTGCTGGCTTTGTTACTTTTGGGGAGAGAAACAAAGGAAAGAAAACACACTGGTGTGTTGTTTTTTTTTTTTGGTTGCTGTTGTCCAGTCTGTAGCTCAAGGAATTGCGATGGAGTTTGTTTCATTTGTTTTCTCTACAGTGAAATAAATAAATTATGAATAGAAATGAAATTTGAATTGACATGAAAGCACAGCACCTCCGTGTATCAATTGCTGAAGATGCAGGGAAGGTCATACGCAGAGCTGGTGTGGTCCCCAAGAGCAAAGGCCATTCAGTAAAACCTGTGCTTTCACTCCTATATTAAAGGACAGTTGATGACATGAAAACAAAAGGAAGTCACCGGTTCAGCGAATAAGATGTCAAATACAGAAAAAATGATCAAGACCCAGATTCTGATGTGGCTAAAGTAGTTGGGGGAGTACCATTAAATTCAGTGGAACTAAGAGGATTAATGCTGGCCGATGATCTGGCCCCTAGTTCTTTCTCAGCTGCCAGTATTAGTTTAGGCTATTGCCTAGAGGTTAACACTGTGATAATAGAATGAGAAAGTATTTATATAGGTGTATATAGATATATAATTATATTAAATGAACACTTTGCTAGTAGTACTTTTGTTATTTTCAACTCTGTCATTTTAAAATAAAACTATTTTAGAAGAGCAGCAGAACCTCTTGAGTAAACTACAGACTCTCACCCACTCCTAGGCCACTTACGGTCCCAGAAGCAAGTTTAAACATTATTTGTAAATTAGATTTTTTTTAAACCATAGGGTGTAACTAAATAATTAAGGCTCCCAAGGGTCTCTAAGAAGCCAGTGAGTCAACACATAGGCATGGAGTAACAGCAAATCAACAATTCTAAAAAAGGTGCTTCATAAGTTAAGGAAAATAGAAATGCAGAGCCTCAAACTTACCACAGAAGGCCCTCAGACTTATGAAACTAAACTGTTGTTATGTAGTACAGTGTTAAGACTTACGTTTCTTTTCTTTTTTTCTTCTTTTTTTTTTTTTTTTTTTTTTGTTCCTTTTTTTTCTTTACATTCTAGAGGGGCAATACACACTGCGTCCAGGAAAAAAGCTCACCCTAGAAAGTAATTTTGAAAGGAATGATAATTTAGATTGATGCTCCTAAGTCCCTAAGCAGTTTTGCTTTAAAAATAATTGTTCATTCTGCAAAATAAGGAATTCCAGCCACCGAAACCCCACGCCATATCTGCACATACAAAAAAAAGGCTCTCCTCTGAAATGTTTCTGTTTGTCTGAAATTACAAATGAGTGGCAACTCGTCAAGACTTTAAAGCACCTAGCAGGGTTGAGCAACATCCCAAAATAGGACATGATATACAGCTGAGACAGAAAACTGCCTTTCAGCTCCCACAAAACACACATCAGGTCACTCCCCAACAAGTGACAGCAACAACAACCCCCCCCTTTTACCCTTCCCCTTCCTTCTTTCCATTCTTAAGCCGGGCAAAGCAAATGAAATTGAGTCCACAAAAAAAATAAGGTTAACAATAATATTAATTAAACAACAGCAACAACAACAACAGCAACAACAACAACAAAAACAGGCGTATCAATGTCTGAGGAAAAGTGGGACTGTAAGTGCAGTATTTCTTCATGTGCAGTTCTTCTACTTCATAAGAGTCCCCTTTGGATGAGAAGGCCTAGTGGAATGTGTGCTCCCCTCGAACAATGTGCGATGAGAACTCATAGCGGTCCTGGCTTCGGTAGCCACAGATGTTGCACTCCAGCGGGTCCCGGTAGCCGTGGCAGCCCATGTGGATGGTGTACATGACGTGGTCCAGGAAAAGAACGCGACAGTGCTCACACTTGAAAGCCCTGATCTGCTCCCCTTCTCCATTGATGACCTTGTAGATATCCTTTAAAGAGCCCTTAGAAGCTTTTGTGGCATCCAAAGCCTTGGCATCCTCCTTCATATAAGCCGGGCTTGGCTTCCTCTTGGGGTTTAAGGCAGAGTTTCCTTGGTAGGACTGGCGGTCTTCGTGGCTGCTCTCTGAGTCAGTAGAATCCAGGCAGCTATTGCTGGGGGAGCCCTCTCTATCTTGGGTTCGACTCTTTGGTCTGATGAGGGAGATCGGGCCATCCATGTTGTTCTCGTGACTGTCAGCTGTTTCCCTGCTAATGGGCCTTTCTATCCTGTTAGGATGATAGACCTGAGCATAAGGTGAGCTGCTGACTGGAGCCACCTCTGCAATTGTGCTTGGTGTGTGCTGCATCAGGGGGTGAAGTGAGTCAGCTCCAAGGTAGGCGATTGCGTTGTGGATGGCTTGGTCCATCATTTGAGACTGTATCAGCTCAGACTCCTTCTCATAGGATAGGTTCATATCAAAGTGAATATCTGGATAGCCAAGTCTCATGAGCTTTTCACCTAAGGGACAAGAGGAAATGAATGAGAAAAATCCATGCAGACACTCCAAAGTTTCACTGTAAAAGGGATGAAGGAGGACAGAAAATCTCAGCTTGAAGCGAAATGCACTCCAGAGTTCCAAAGCTGGCCACAGAATGAAGCAAATAATGTGAGCACCTGACATCTTCCGTCCAAGGTAAAGTACTTCTGCTGCTCATCCCCTTAATAAGAAAATACCTACCCCCAATTGGAAAGAAAAAGGAATGAAAAAAAAAAGACAAAAAAGCCCTGCATCTGTTTAGGCAGGAAATCACACATATAGCTCAGTTTCATTTGGTAAAAGGCAAAAGTGACCTTCGTTGCCATAGGATAAACACACTTAGAATGACGATGAAAGCTGACTGATTCATCACTGTGTGAGTCCAAATCCACATATTTTCAGTGGCATTACAGATACATGCAATCACAACCACAAACAGGTAGATTAAGCTAGTTACAGGGCATGATGCAGATTACAGATTCCCTTTAAAGTTAACAGATTTGCAGCTGCTTACATCGGGACACAGCGCAGAGCACTGCTTTTCCAGTGATGGCTTTAGAGTCAGCAAAAGGAAAGTTCATATAATAACTTTCCTTAATTAAATAGAAAAGATGATATGCATAACCATATGTCTAAGATACAAGATGCACACTCACCCGCATGTGTTCACACACATGAACGTTAGTTAACAGTTCATTTTTTAAACTGATTTTACAAAGTCTGATAAATAATTTTGGTGGGTTTTCACTGTCTTTGTTACTTTTCACTGCCTCAGAACATAAAACCACACTTTTTTTCAATGGTGTAAGCTAATTAATTCAGGGAATCAATGCATACAACTAGTTAGGCTATCCAAGAACTAAGAAACCCAAAAAATCTATTACCTTTTGCCAAAATTGCTTGGAACAAAGTACGTATAAACCAACATAAGAAAGAAACAGAACTGTAATCCCCAATCTCTTCCAAATAGCATTAGTACATTTCAACATAGCTATCATTCAGCATTTTATTTTAGGCTATAATAATTCCTTCAATTTAGTATGCCTTATCTTAAACTGACACACAAAGAGAAATAATTTTACATTACCTGTGAAACAATCAGGTTATCTTTGGAGATGATGCATCCCTTTTGCTTGGGAACTTAGCCCTGATCAGCAAGGTAATTAAATGCAAGTTTAAAGAAAAGCACGTGAATATTCCTGGTCTCTTCAGCAATACTGCTCGTGTGCTTGTGATTAGATACCATATTTATGTATCTAGATGCATTTCCCTAAGGCTGGCTGTGTTACACTTACAGCTCACAGAAAGAAAATATAACATAGAAAACTGTTTCTTTGTCGTACTTTGGACATTTGGAAAAAAATACAGAAAAAACAAATGCTCACAGCTTTAGTTATCTAACATGGCTTAAGGATGACTCTTGCCAAACATCCTCTTTTCAGTACAATTATGGCTGTCCTGCTGCCAATAGCATGGATGACATTTTAGCGGTCCAGTTCCACTTGAAATGGAGCAGCTACTTCCCAGGTAGGGTGGGAAGAAAGCTGCAGGAGGCACGTGGTGTCTTTGGCATGGTGGGAGAAAGAAAAGAAAATGGAAAAGCCCATCAGACCCTGTCACCTGCTCTGGCCACCCATATCGCTCCTGTATTTGAACAAGGAACTGGATCTGGTGGAAGAGTTTGATCCATTCTCCAAACATGCTCTCAATCCTTTGTAGACTAGAGAGATCAGGAAATAACACTTGTCCTTTATGGATGACTTGGATGAATGATGCAGACATCATTTTGATTCCCTTTTTTCTTCCACATTTAGTGATTCCACCAGACAGCAGAGTAAATAGTAAATTGCCAGTGACCTGAATTATTCATTCCTTTAATTATGTTTCAAAGATGTCAGAGCCTTAAAAAATGGCATGACACACATAAAAGTAAAATAAATGATAACGTGGGGAGAAGAGGACATAAGATACAGAGCTCAGAAGAAATAATAGCAAATCAATCTAACATAGTTTTCAATTTTAATTCCTCTTCAGCCAAACCTATATTAAGACTAACTAATCACTTTAATCATTTTACATTTTCATTCCAAACTACGCTTACATTCTGTATATTCTTGTCCTACATTACTCAAGTGGAAAAAGAAACACTCTCCGCTGTGGATCACCTTGTGACATTCAAAACAGGTTTCTGAAGCTAGATCAAGGATCAGAGTCACGTCTGTCCTGTGATACCTGTAGTCCATTTTGTCAAGTATCTACAGCAACTGCAACATCTGACACCCTGGAGAAAGCCACAAGAAACCCTGGAAAAGTCAGTTACAGTACATACCACTGGGTAAGTTTCTTTCTGACCCTTGGAGATTGCTGATTAGAAAGAGCAGTAAAGCATCGATAGATGCAGCATGCAAAGATTTGAGCTTATGCCTACATGACCTTCTCATAAACACCATTAAGTAATTTTGGAAGGGTGCCCGATGTATGCATAGGAAAATTTCCTGCAATCAAGAGAACCATTACAAGTTCTTCCTGCTAGAGTTGAACAATATTTCACTGGGGAGAAAATGGGAAGAAAAGTGAGGTCACTGTGAAAAAGAAAGGTAGCAAAGCACAGGCTCTGCTGGTTTTCAGCTCAGACACTGTTGCCAGGAAAGATCAGCAATGGCAGAAAAATAAGATACAGTAAATATGAAAGAGGACACCTTCCCCTACAGCTGAATCTGGATAAAAAGCTGCATGTCGCATAGAACTCTGAATTCCTAGCATCAGAAAAATGGAATACCAAGATGATCCGTTATGCTTATAAAAGAAATAACTTCATCTTACAATGAAGAAGTATACCCTACTTAAGAGAATAACATAAAGCTACAGCGTATCTCATGCAAGGATTTCCAATTGCTAAGTTTGCCTTTCAAGAAAGACAGTAACAACGTATGACCATAAGCATGTGAGTGGACTCTTCTTTTCTGGTCTAAAAAAAGAGTCATTTGCAACTTCCAGAAACTGATTTTATTTATACCACTCAGTTGTGAGGTACACTTATAACATGCAAAACTATACTGCTTATGGCAGCAGCATGAGTACTCCAAAGCAAGGGGGAAGGAAGAGGGCCCTCACACCCTCGCAGATGAATTCTGTACCCTTGCAAAGATAACCTTTAAGAGGTATTGCAAATATAATTACATCTAAGCCTGTGCGCAACTAAAGGGGAAAATAGAAAGAAAAAAAAGGTGAGGTGTGAACTGCCCTTCTTCCTTTCCGAGCTGTAAGAGGTCTGAGGTCTAGCACATCAACTTAAATGTCAGCACAGACAACTATTTCACTGCTGATCACAATGTGCAGGGAAGCACAGCGCTTACTAAGACAACGCTATGGAAATCTGCCATGCCTACAATCTTTTATAGCCGGATTTGGTTTGTCAGTAGAGTCCTGCTCCCGTTGTCAGCCTTTTCAACCCTAACTTACATCACAGCAGTAAGTTAAAACACAATACACACCCTCCAGTTCTTACCAGCTGCACAGTAACTCATTTCAGACCACTCAAAGAAAACAGATTAAGAATTAAGCTTTTATCTCTGGAAGACTAACAACAATACAGAAAAGAAACTGATGCCTCCTAGCATTCCTTGCATGGGTTGGATTGCTTCTTACCAAATCCTGTCAAAGAATGTGATGGAAAAGAAAGGACATGACAATTTTTAGTCAGTGCACTTGTATTTTAGGATGGCCAGCTGACTGTGAGCAGTCAGGTCAGTGTGTCAGTGGCCCCAGGTGAGATGCTGCATGCTGTTAGCCCTCTACAATTCAAAATCATGTGGGTTAGCTTAAAACCATCCTGAGCAGTGATTTAACAAATCTGTCTGAATCTCTATTTAGCCAAGGGGCAATGACTTTTCCAAATGGCTGTCTTAATTGCCTACAGTCCTTCAATCCTCTCTCCACAGGTGTCCTCAGTTGTATACTCAGAATGAGTATACAACACTCTTAAAATCTATATATTGTCCTTCTAGGGAGTGAGTGTGGAAAACACACATTACCTTAGTTCAGCATCTAGCAGCAAATACTTAGCCCAAATAACTCTGTCCTACCTCACCTCCTAACAAGTTCAACACTGCCTCAATGACTGTGAAAAGTAGATTTAAGCTACAATTCAACACCAGAAAAATTTTCCACACCATGGAATCATCAAATCATTCAGGTTGGAAAAGACCTTAAAGATCAAGGCCAACCACAACCTAACCATAGTACCCTAACTCTAACAACCCTCTGCTAAATCGTCTTCTTTTACGAGCTGAAGAATTTTAAGATGTCAAGATACAAAGCAAAATAGGAATTCTGGGTTTAGGACTCTAAATTTGGTAATCAAAAGTGATCCAACACTGTTTTATATTCACGCACTAAGAAATTTATCAGGTGCAGAACACTGCACTTGGAGCAAGCACTTCTTCTAACAGAAGCAATGTGATTTTGCTTCCTTATGCCGGTATTATCAGACCAGTTGTTGCTAACTCTCAAGAATTAATACAAGTTACAAGTCATGAGATAATTCTTTTTTTTTTTTTTTCACACACACATATGGAGGCAGATAATTACATGAGTCTTACTTTTTTACTTGCTGAGTGAGGAGAGGGAAAGATGACAAGTCTTTGTCAAAAAGACAAAGGGTCATGGAAAAGTTAACAAACAAAACAAAACAGACTTAAGGCACAGTAAAAAGCTCTGGATTTTCTAAGACATTTTTATTATTATGGGGACCTCACTTTTGAATGGTCTGGACTGGCAAAACTAATTCTATTGTTTTCAGAATTTCTTGCTGTGCTTTAACCCATCTCAACTGTTGCCCCTCCCCACCACAATCACGTTCTGAGAGTGCTACCTTTCCCCTTGGTTTTTCTTTTTTTTTTTTTTTGGCTATCTTTCACAAGTAGCAACCTACAGCTACACTCTAAAAATAATAAAAGGCGTATCTCAAGCTTACCCACAAACTTCTGTGGGGTGGAGCTTTTACGCTTTCCCAAGTTGCTTGTCAGCTTCTCTATAACAGCAGGTCTCTCAAAAGGCACCATAGGAATATTGTTGTCCATCACAGGCTCTTGTTCCTTACAATCTTCCATAGGAGGTACTACATAAAACCAAAAAATTGTATCAGACAAGTCTGGTCTACACTTGACAGATGACACAAAACATTTGAGCTCTGCTGATTGTGCAACAAGAGCAACACAAAATAAAGCAAGATGCAAGAACACAGTGGGCATTCAGATAGCACTCCCCTTTGAGCAGGCAGAGCCACACTTTTCCATTGCCTGTCTTTGGGAACATCTTCTTTTGCAGAAGCTACACTTCATATATAATAAAGGACTTGTTTTGTTCTGAATACAGAAGGTCCCACTGAGGAGAAGAGAAAACTATGGTACATGGCGCTTCAGAAAATTCCCTCTGTAGATCACATTTTCTTTTTCCCTCCCTACAACATGATCCCATGTTACCAGCGTAACTTTATGGCTATCTTTGTGGACTCACTTAATATCACCTTATCTTGTTTATCATTCTTATTTTCTTATTACACTGATCTCAATGACTAGAAAACATACAATAGCTTTGCATTCCCTGAGACAGAGGCTTCCTAAATGAAGACCGTATTTGTTAAGGTTTCCTTTATTTCTATATCTGAGACTAATTTCACCACACATTGCACTGAAATCGCAGGATTAACATTATATGGAGATTCCCTTAAGAACCAGTGAAAGAAACTAACAAGTTTTCGAACTAAAGCTTTTTTACCCATCAGACACAGACCTAACAATTGGTAAATGCCAGCGTTTTGCACCTCTCCTCCCACTATTTGCAACCTCTGATGGACACCAGAAGGGTCAGTGGTACCACGCTGAGAATTAAGCTCAGAAAGCCTGAGTCATCCACAATACATGTCAAGTGTGATTCCATAGGTAGCTCTTCCCACTGCCCAGCAGCATATTGCTCCTCATTCTTCTTTAGAAAGTAGCAGGAGAACTCTGAGGAGGATCATCAACCACTGTCTGTGTGCTAAAGAGATGGTTAAGGTATTACAAAAAAATTATTTGAGAATAAATAGCAGAGAAATAGGAAGTGGGATGATCTGCCAAAGAGTTCTTGTGATTTGGAAGCTGTGAGCATCCTATCACATTCTCTTCATTAGGTAAATCTTCTAGTGAAGTCACAGCTGCAATTGCAGGGGTAGTAGAGAAAGGCCAACCTCCATATCTTCTGCTAGTTCTCTCCCACTGCTTCTATTGCAGCCTCTGGTGTCATTTCTCATTCAGTTACCTTTTCTTTGTGATTGTGAAAGGAGCATCACCAGCCTGCTTTCCTCCCTCCCATGTAACTTGACTGCCTTCAGGATCCTAATACAGAATAATCACTCATCTGTTCTTAAACATGTAGCTGTTTGCTAGCACATAATACATGAAAAATGAGGTGTTAAAAGCCTCATCTTTGCCTTCTTTCTGGTAAGGAAGAACAAATACCAGGCAATCACAAAACAGAGTATCTGCTCAGGTGAACTTGTCAATTCAGACATTCATAATAAGAAAACATAGCAATTTATTCATTTGATTCCATTTGTGCCTCTGCTGCTAGGGCAAGCTGAGTACTTCGAGTTTTAGAATCTCCCATATGCTATAAAATGATTTACTCTGCTGCTTTTTTATTTGTACAGGATGCTCCCCCTGAGAAACACAATAGTTTCTCATTTACAAGGCAGTCCTGCTGGCATCAGTGAAAGAGGAAGAAAAAGCATAAATATGCAATGTTCGATTCGTTTCAACAAACTGGGATGCAGTGTTCAAGTGACCTAAGTAATACCCAGTGCAGTTTGGGAGGTCTGAAATATTATCATCGATATGGCTAAATTCTTAAGGTTATGCAAACACTCTTTTGTCCAGAGCTATCTGCACTAGTTCTACTCAAGTATTTATTGAGATTTTATAAGAAAGGAATGGTTACATCTGTTGATTTTCACTAGGAACTGGTGTCTGACTATCCTTAACAAATAACTGTGTGAGAACCCTGGTTTCCTGCTCAGTGGCTGTAATTGTCCTCACTGTGATGGGACAGGTTTGGACATGAGTGCCACTTCAAGAATTTCCAGTCCTTGGCATGCCAGATGCACAAGACTTGAAGTGGGAACCTAAGGAGGTGCAGGGGGTTCTAAATATCTCATATGATGACCTGCTGCCTTTGTAGGACTGTACCTGCTCAGAAAATCAATTGAAAGCCTAATTACCTTCACAGCTATCTGATTAAACCCCAAATTTAGTGACATTTGTATTTCCTATACAGATTAATAATGAAATAATTCTACTGTTGGGCATATGTGTGCAAAATTTCCTAGATGGAATCTGAAACCTTTCTTCCACAAAAAAAAAAAATGAATAGTGCTAAAAAAGACATCTGTTCTTTTCTGAATCAGGCAAAAATTCTGCTTGGACTTTTAAGACTAAAACCATCACCAATAAAAACATTTTCTTTTCTATATTGTATGCTGTAACTGTTTCCTGCCTCAGAACTCATCTCCATAATCACTCAATCCCACCAGTATTTGAGTTTTGAGTTGAGGTGAGAATAAGTTACCAGAATGTGCATTGTTACATAGACTTCCTGGGAAGGAGAAGAAATGGAAATAGCCTAGGTGTGCTTCATTACCTTGGGTAGTAGGAGCTAGAAGAACAGCTGACATGTTATAACTAGCTTTGATACAACTGCTTATTTTAACCTATGAAATTATGGTGTCATCTCAGGTGGACTTTTAATCCAAAAACAATGCATCCAGCTTGTTAAAAACCCAAGACTGAGAATGTTTCTGTTAAGGGATGCTTTCACTCTGTAATCAGGGTGCATTCCTGGATGTTCATTCTCCCTGACGTAGCTGACGTCCTCAACTGCAGTTAACATCAAATGGTGTTTTCAAGCTCTAACTCTCAATATGCAAACCTGGATGGTCTCCAGAATAAATTCTTTATTTTCCTGAAGACATTAGTGTTAGGGTCATGGGGATATTTTTCAGTTTTTTCTTCCTCATTTATAAGAAACCACACATTCTGTTATTTAAAAAAAAAAAATAAAAAAAGATTCATGCTCTTCCAGTGAGGGGAAAAAAAAAAAAAGCCAAAAAATTGCCCAGCATGTGTTTTGCTGATAAATACTTTTGTGTGCAGACAACAGACACCAAGCCAAGTCTCAGCTGGTATAAATTAGTATTACCCCATCACCCTCAATTTCCTAAGTTCGCAATATTGCTATTTTAGAAAGTGTATGTGTGTGCACTAATAAATGACAGGATATATTCCCACACACCCTGATGTGAAGTACCCCACGGGACAAGCATTTTAACTACATTTTAAGCAACTGAGCAAGAGGAAAGGACACAGGGTCATTGTGTATTTTGTGTGCAGTTGGCCTTTGAGCCTCTCACAGCCTCAGGCCAAGCTCCTTTCTCCTTCTCCTAAGAAGAGTATCCTTCTTCACTTTATTTTAAGAATTTCCCTGGACTTTTTGCTTTGTGGAGATGAATATATATAAATATATATATTTATATATATGAGTATAAACCACAGCTGGCATTCAGTGTTTCCCCCTATTTGATAATGCAAACATCAGACATGCTGCCTTCAGAGGCTGTCATTTTCATCACCCCCAACACACCGCCAGCTAGAAGACCACACACTAATTTCTACCTCAAGGGCCAGAACTGCTTAGCTGAGAATGGCTGACAACATCAGAAGAGCTCTCTTGCGGCACACATCGTGTAACTGAGCCACTGTGCTGAGCTGGGGGCAGGCCCCAGCCACAAGGAAGGGCAGTTCAGAGAGAGGATGGAGGGAGACCTAGCGCCAGGAACTTGTGCATTCCTACCCACATGCTGAACTCAGCCTCTCCCTGCCTCTCACTTCCCCTTGTGCCTTTGGTCAGGTGAGCCAGCCGTCTGCAAGGCAAAGATAATTCAAATTAAAGCAAATATTTGCAGCATGCCTATAATTTGATCAACCAGAGTGCAATGTTTGAAAAGCTCCCAATTCTCAAAGGGCTGCCCAAGTTTACTGGAGTTAACCTCTGCAACAATAATTTAGAGTGATCCGAAACACTGGCCATAATAGTTTGAGACACAGCACAGCCACTTACACCCTAAAAGCAGGATGCCAGCAGGAATGAGAACATCCCCGCATCCACCTTTTCTTCACATTATGCTGTTAAAGGACTGGACAGGAGTTCCTCTGCCATGTTTCCAGAGGCATACAAATCCAAGTAACACAAAGCATCGATTTTAGCAACTGCAGCACATGGCTGGAGAAGGTATAGATCTCAGCTGGGCAGGCCTCAAAACACTCAGCAAAACCAAAGTCTTCACAAAGTATTTGGAAAGAGGGACAGGTAAGCTAAACACTAACATGATGCAAAAATTAAGCAATAATTGATATCTCCAAAACACATATTCACTCAACCCCAAGAATATCCTTTCAAAGTGTGCAATACGAGAGTGAAGAAAATCAAGGCATTCTTCAGAGTTAGCCTGAGCCTTAACTTTAAGCAAAGTGAAGAGCAATCATTTGTGCATACTTCTCTGGTGCCTCTGTGCTCCTTGGAGAAAGGACTCATAGCAGAACCGTACAGCACACACTGAGCTTCCCAGGTGGGAGCACTGGGATATGAAGGGAGATTTATCACTAGCACCCACCTGGATCTAGAACTACCTGTCACTGTACCTCCTCTAACCAGGAGGATGTGAAGTCCCTTAAACATTTGCCAGGAGAGATTTAGTCATGTTTGCCAAGGGGAGAAATAGGCACCAGTTGAATTCAAAGTGTTGTTTTAAGCTAATTTTGCTGAAAAAAAAAAATGAAGTGGTTGTCTGACCATTTCTATTTTAAGTCCAAGCAAAGTCAGGTTGTAAATAAAATAGATGATCCTATTGGGTTTGCACTGGTTTAACTTCGGTTGTTAGAAAAATCAATGCAAAGTCAGCTATTCCAACTTCTCTGGGTGGACAAGGTTAAAGACTTACCCCTGTTGTCACAGCATTGAGCTGCTTAGAAAAGGCTTTAGATTTCCTCAGAAGCACACTAACAATAGTAAACCCATTTAACACCAATTAGTGAAAAATAAATCTGTAAGTTGAGCAGAATTTGGGAAGAAACTCTATAAAGTAATCTCTGAAAGACTCCTACTGTCATACCTCTATTGGCCAACTGTTATTTCCCTAAGAAAATGCTGGCTGATATCATCAGCTACCTGGTTAATCAGATAGGCCCACCCTTGTAGAGAGAAGAGCACGTATTTTGTTGGGAATGGAGCATGTGGTTAAACTACTACTATCAGCAAAGTGCTCCATCAAGTGCAGAACGGGTACCTGCAAGCAGCAAAGCCCTAAGATGATTCTTTCTACTGACTTTTACACGCATAAAATCAGGCCTAACACAGATAATCGCTAACTTCAAGGTCTCTGAAGTCATCCATTAGATTTTACAGGTTGATTTTAGTTATCTAAAAAGATAGTAATTATTTAATAGAGCTGTAGAAACATTTGGGGTTATATGCTTTTATAGATTTGAAATTTTCACAGTACAGTATTCTAAAATTTTTGATGATTTTCTTTCCACCAAAAAATAGTCCATAGTAGAAATGTTGAATAGATTTCATTTCAGTTTGTTTTTTTTTTTTTAGGTTTTTAGAAGTGACCTTTCAGAACTTCTACATAATTGATTTCCAAATGACGCCACATGACTACTCTCAACAATGAAAAGCAAAATGGAAAAAAAAAAAGTTCTTTCCCCTTTTCATTTACCTACTGTCTATCTTCTCGATGTTCTCATGTTTATGGTATTTTCTACTCGTAATGGAAAAAGTATATATACATTTTTATATTTCCTCCGCAATAAGAAGTAAGTACTTTGAGTGCCAAATATCTAAAGTTAATTTTTAGAAGTTAAAAGATGTTGAGTGTCTGAAGCACTGATTTTGAATGAAAATAATTTTCAGACAACGCTTTTTATTTGGCACTACAAATATACCTACAACCTTGCAGTCAGATGTTATGCTTGTTCCCCATACCAATAACTACAGAAATGTTTGAACACAAATTCAGGCTTTGACATTTCTTGCTTTCAACCATCTTTTTGGCAATCTTCAGCATTTCTGTATATTAACACATGTAGTGTTAGCACAGTAACACTAACACATGCAAATGCATGAACTTTTCTTTTAATATAATTACTTATATCATTACTGTTGACTTCATGTTGTTCTGGAGGTTTTTACATCCTCTTTTCCTTTTTATTTTTTTTATATAATGTATTACTATAAGGAGTAGAAATGATGACCTCTGAGTATGTCTACCACCCTTACTTCTTAGAAGTACCAGTCACTTTCACCAAGGAGAGGAAGGGGATTCATACGTTCCTTAGTTTTTATGGCAACTTTGCACTGGTGCCTTTATCAATTTACTTTAATGTCTGCATACTTATATATCTAAAAAATGAAATACCGAATTCAAAAAATCAGCAAAAAAATGCTGTTAAACCAGAGTGGGGACTTTAACTCATCTTTTCTCCTCCTGCATATCTGAGTGCAAGCAATAGATTAGATGGAAGCGATGCAAAGCACAAAGGAAGGAGGAAAAACAGATGGAAAACCCCCATAAGATGTGCTCCAAGTGCAAGAGACCTCAAGGCATGGTGTCCACCCACCGTGGTGACTCAGGACCTGCCCGGCAGCCTCCATGCCAACATTCTGCATGTAGTTGTGGCAGCGTTCCTTGTGCTCTTCCAGCGAACTGCGCTGCTTGTAGCTCCGGCCACAGTAGTTGCACTTGTGAGGCTTCCCCACTGTGGAGAGAATGAGAGTGTCAGGTCAGATCCACAGCAGCCCACCTATGCTACCAGCATCACATCTTCACAGCAAACTGCTCTTGAGATGGAAAGACAACTAAGAAAGGTTACTCAAGTCCCATGCCTTCTTCCCAGCCCCATTTCCCCCCACGCACACACCTCCCACCCACTGGGTGCTTGGCTCCATCAGCTGTTCACACTAATGCATGGTATCTGCAGAAGCAACAAGAGGTGGACTTGTTGATCGTAAAGCAAATAAACAAGAGGGGAAAACAACCCAAACAGTTGAATCACGTCCCAGCACTGCTTTTGTGTCACCGAGTCTCGTTGGAAAGAAACTTCTGAGGTGTTTTGCCCATGGCACGAGCAGCTGCTTTCACAAAATTGTGTTGCCCCAGTGGCCTAATTCTGCTTTGAGCCGGGGAAACCCATCTCATGGCACAGAGGAGTTCTCTCAGTGAAGCAGCTTTGCCAAAATTACCAAGGGAAGGTTCGGAAAAAAACAAAACACAGACAACAAAGTAACGTTGGTAACGGCCCCTGTTCCATGTCAGAGCTAAACTGTCCCCCGTAATTCACACAGACCAGATGATATTTAAAAACAAAACAAGAAAAAAAAAAAGCTGAGTACATCAAAAATCAAGCCAGATGAATGCAAGATATAACTGCATTTTTCTGTGCGCGCGCTTTTCACTCAGGAGCAATATGAATAAATGGCAAATGACTCTTAAAACACGCAAAACCTGGCACCAGATTCCCATAAAGTACATCCCTTTCATAGCATGTCATTAAGAAACCACAAGAACAGTCTAACCCAAGGCCAGAAAGCTAGCCAGAAGTACAGTTTGCCAAGCCATGCTAATAAAGGTTTTTAATATAATTCCAACTTGAAGAACACAATCGTTTATTCTCTAATAACTAAAGAGCTATTAAGTCAGTGCTACAAGTCCAGTAAAACACCACATGCTGACATTTTCAGAGCTGGCTGAGGGATGGGGGAAGTCAAACTTTACAGAGTCTTCAAAATCTTAGGTAAGAATTTTAGTTTCCATCCAAAGACATAGAGAATATCCTCTGTTGGATAACATGCATGTTTCTATTGGGTTTGTCCCAGTCTTGAAAGTTTTTCACTGTCATTTACTTAATGAAATCCAAGCTGGACTACTGACAGATAAACATTGTCACTCCTAGGCAACCTTCCTACCATTGTATGACAGACCTGGGGGTTGCTTCAGTGCTGGAGGGGAAGATGTAGGGGGCACAGTGGGAGGATACACATAACCAACAAGAAGTTGGACAGGAAAATTTTTGTGTTAGTTTGGTGTCAAATCAAGAAATCTAAAGCAGCTGAAGGGATTAAGCTAACAGATCCAAAGCAGGGCTGATTAGACCACCCTGCTTGGCTACGCCAGGCTTTCAAAATCTTAGGTGAACCATAAGATGAAAAGGAAATGTGCGATTGCTTTCAGCTACTCAAGACGTAGATGCTATTAATTAAATATATTACCATCTAGCACAGATAAACATATTATCTTACCAGCTTGCAGGAGAAAAAAAAAATCAATTCAACAATAATAATAAAAAATAGCTGATGTTACCCCTCTTCAAATCGCTGCTACTTGCACTGCAACTATTTCACAAACTATTCCTAGACAATGATGCTGAGAGCTTTCCCAACGATATCTGGGACATACAGCTACCCAAATCCCATCAAATTTCAAGGTTCATAAGAGATGATAAAAGCTAATGACAAAGGCAAGATTTCTACATGCAGTATGGGATTCGAGGAACATAACTCCCCAGGGAAAGAAATACTCCAGCACATGAACTCCTTCCTCCAGGGAGAAGACAGGAGAATAAACAACAGGTGACAAACGTTAGCCACGTTGCCTAATACACAACTGGAAGCTGCTCAAACACAACAGGGAAGAGCGAAGTTTGTGAATTCCAATTCAGCAGACTTGAACAGAACTCCCTTGGGCTCATTTGCAAAGTTGGTCCCCCGACTCTCCCTTCTCAACAGATGTAATTGCATCATAGCCTAGACATGACACAGGGAAAAACTGATTTATTCTATAAAATTACACAAAGCAACTGCAACTTGGATTGTGTCCTCAATCAAGTCAGTCCCCAGAGGGAACAGGTTCCAGTAGTTCATGTCACCAGCAATGCTCACAATCTAGTGATGAACGCAGCTAGCAGGGGAAGCAGCTACAGTCTGGATTTTAGGAACCTCGCTGTTGTGACAAACGTCAAGACATTGAAATAGCCACAAATTTCCCCTTTTGCTCTTATCAAAGTAAGTCACGATAAAAAATACATGTTTGTGGATATGAACATTGCCAGCAGGTGTACATTTTTCCATTTTTTGTGCTTCACAATATAAAGATGTAAAGGTGTCTTAGAGAATTCAGTTCCAGCGATCTTCTCAATGGCATATTTTGTTCCACATAGCAAACCACCCGATTAAACCACACAGCTGCCAAGAAACATTTCAGCCTTTGTCAGCGAAGGTATAGTCAATAAAAGTTAACAGTCAAAAGTTGCCCCCAAAACATACAGCTGTGCTCCCAAGCACAGGTCCTGGTCTTTGCAGAGTTCAACTGTGTTATAACGCAGTTGAATATATAATTGAGAAGTTAACCAATGTTACCTTCTCAAGCCCACACCAAAGGCTGCTCTTTCAATGAATTCTTTATGGAGCCATCCAATGCTTGGCTCAGCTTGAAGCTGATTTCCCCAAGCTCCTGACCAAGGACCTTGTCACATAGACGTGGTGTTCAGCGCTCCGTGTCATTGTACCAATGGCAGCGGCATCTAGGAAAGGTGGTTTGGGGTAATTAATCCTGTATCACCTTTAGATAGAAAATTACCATCACTCATTCTCATAAAAGTGACACGATACAGTGAATGCAAACAAGCCCGAAATCTTGAGAAATCTTCAATCTGTCATTGAACTGGGAAAGACCACGGCACTGGGTAAAACCCAGCGGCCATATCTATGAAAAAGCTGACTTGAATACAAAAAACACACCTTATTTTTCTTACTTTTATGTCAGAGTTTCCACACATTTAAGCTCAGATTCATACAGATGACAATGTGGCACAGAAAACCCACAGTGGAGTCTCAGCCTCAAATGGAAAATATTATGACAGTTACGCAGAAAAAAGACATTTCAATTTGAAGTAGATTTTTTACCATGAAACAGGTAAACCACTCGCTGAAATTCACAGAGCAACCGAGTCTGCTCGTGAAATGAAAATGTTTGCATGCAGGGAGGTGTGGAAAGAGGAGGAGGAGACAAAGTGCTCAGGAGTGAGGAATATTGGAGTCCTTGTGGGTGAACTTTGATAGCTGAGAAGTTTGCAAGCAGCAACAATGAGATGGTGCAACACTCAGGTCAATATTCAAGACAGAAAGCAGACTCGGGCTTAGGGAAACTGCTTTCAAGTCATAAAAGAAGGTCAGTGAAAGAGAAAGAGCCTGTAAGGCATTCACGCAGCATTTTGTTCTCAAAAGAGATGGGAGTGCATAGCAGAATATAAAGTAAGTCAAAGGGAAATCACATGGCATCCCAGGTAATACTTTGCCATAAGCACTCGGCATGAGAAAGGCCTACGGAACAGGTTATGAGCAGCGATGCTCTTCATCGAGCGAAAACCCTGCCTCCATTAATACCAATGGCAAATATTCCCTGGCTTCAGCAGGCAGAATTGACTACTTCCACACTTTCCTGTTTTGGGTATCACACTCTTCTCTGCAACAGCTTGGAGAAGAATTCTTTCCCGTCTATCTGAGCAGCTCAGGTATTAGCAGCACAGCTCATACAGGAAAATGCATTACTACAGCTGCATTGCTTGGGTCCTCCCAATGCAAGCAGTATTAAAATGTCATAAAGCCTTTATGCTGCGCTTTCTATCAGATTGGAAACTGCCCAGGATGGGAGATGCTCTGCAGATAATAAAGTACCTACCACAAAGGAGCCTTGAACGGGGCTTAATGTGGCAAGATCAATTTTAACACCGAAGTAGGAAATATGATTAAGGCTCTAGGTTGGGACTAGGGAGCCTAGGGTTCAATTCTTAGTTACACTACAAATTTTGTGACTGCAGGCAAGTTACACTGATCTCCCATGCTTCAATTATTCATACATACGATTAAGGTAATAATTCCCTTCTTCGCAGCATGTAAATGAATTCAGGCACTTTGTGAGAGACACAGAGGCTAATTTGGTGGAGTTCACACAAGTAGGTAGACATAGAAAAATATGGTCCATATCTCTATTGAGAAATTAAGGACTTAATACACTGATTTTATTAGATATGGGACGAACATTAAAGAACAGAAGGAGATATTTAGGATGGCATAGAGTAGAGGTTCAAGTGGGAATAAGAAAATCAAATCAGAGAAAAAAGTTGGTGGCATATTAGGCTGTTTGCAGGCAGGGTATCTTTCTGAGCTGTGAAATGATCAGCCCAGAGAAATGTAGAATGACCTTTAGATTTTTCCATATCTTTTAATAACATGGAAGATAAAAAAGAGGGCTTGGGGTAGTGCTTAGATGTTGCCAAAAGAACTGAGGCAGTAGAGATGTGTTGATGAAGTATGGTCCATCCAGTTCGTAGCTGTAATGTAACAGAACACCTCGTGTGTCCCAGAGCTGCCTATCCCAAAGCCTCACACACAAAATATTTACATAAATAATAGACTTTTGAACAAATTAATTAAAAGAAAAAGTGAGACCTAATCCCATGCTGGCTCTGAGCAGCACGTAGCTTTACAAAGGAAACTGCCTCCCACTCTGATGCTGCATCTCGCTGCTGTGCTTAATGACTGTAAATGTGTTCATTGAAATTCATGAAGGCTCTTTGATTTTCCTTTTTAATTTTTTTTTATTTTTTTGCCCAGGAGATTACATATAGACACAAAATAATCAGTATACACTCGAGTTCAGAAATAACAAGTCCCACAGCTAATCCAATATTGTCCAAGCCAACCTGCATTCAGAAGTCACAAGATGTAAGCATCTAACAGAAGTCTGCAGAGCACACTCACACACCAACTTGTGACACACAGCCTCCATCTTTGAGTGCTCAACTTATGACATCTTAAAGCAGCCTGATTTTCAGAAATAATCCATTTTATATTCGTATTAAGATAAATTTGCCATAATCTTTTAATGCTTGTCAGTTCTGAAAGGAGCAGCAATACCTGGAGTACGTGCCAATGTCTCTGCACTCGAGTGGCAGATAAATACAGAAGTACTCTGCTCTACCACTGAACTTTAACACAGGTCTAAAACAAAAGGCCTGCTTGCTAATAAGCTGCAGATTCACTGAAAGGAAGCCTCCTCCAATTGCTTGATAGGGAGGAAGGGAGGAAGGACAAAACATAATAACTTGATTACGGTAACATTACAGGAGTTCTGTCTTCCAGCTCTTTGCCACCTCCAACAGCTGGAGGAGTTCAAACCATATGTTTTGCTTTTTCTCATTTTTAGAAAGAGGAAAGTACTGGTTACTTCTTAACAATTGACCTCTGACAGAGATGCAGGGATCGCTGTGGACCTTGTGGGATTCTGATGTCTCTTTTTTCATCTTGTAGGCCAAATACTAGAGTTTTTGAGGCTGTGGCAACAGATAGGTTCACCAAGTCATGCAGGAGAGGAGAGACCAGCCAGATATGTCTGTGCTTCCAGATGTTTCCAGGCACTTTAGAATCCTCAGTGGACTCAAAATACAGCAGGACAACAACAGAGATAGTTCACTTGACTCACTTTATGACCTCAGAGCCCACTGCCTCTTGGTACAGATAATCAATTGCCTATCAATACATATACAACTGTTCAAGATACTGTGAACCTCCCAGCAAATGAAATACCTTTTGCCCTTTTTGCACAGCAGCAATGGAAAGTTATTTCTGTCAACAGCTACGCCATACTATTACAGCAGCCCTAGCCAGCTAGTAGCAAAACACCACTGTATGCTTGTAGTACATCAGCACGCAGTAAAACAACGGCAAAACATTACACCTACACACCCTTTGTTTTCTAGGCACACCTGTCTTTGCAATACATATCTCCAGAGCACAAAACAGCTGCCTAACACCTACATCTACCTGCCAGTTGTTTATGGTGTTGTACAACAAGCAGCTAGCAGAGCAGTGCTGTGCTCCTGATGCTCAGCCCTTCCTTCTGTGGCAAGTGGTGTTAAATAGATGATATATAAGCTCCAAGGATTTCATCCATGCTACAAATACACATGTGCACACAGAGAGGACAAGCAAACACAGCTATCGATGCAAACTTCCAAGTGACTACACCTTTGTATATAATGCACACAGGCCAGAGTGCAGTGTAAATCAAGAGTACAACAGCTATAGCACTGGGATCCTTATTTGTACCTTCAGGTACTGCCTGCAGCCTTTTATTTCTTTAGTAGCTCACTGTGATTTATCTCACTGCTTCTAGCAGTTATTGGCTCTGCTATTTAATCTGATTCATCAGATTGTGTTTATTTATTAACTGATCTGCACAGTTTTACAGATAAAACAATGTTCCAATCTGCCACAAGGGTTATAAATAAGTAGGCAGTAGTTTTTGTGCCAGAAGCTTAACAAACAAACAAACTCCTGTTTCACTGGCACGATCATACAATTATTGAAATCTCCCTAACCATCCAGACCAAACCATCCTGTCACAGTCTCTCAGCACCCATTAAATACATTAAAAACAGAAAAGCAACAAGTTTGCAAGCCAATTTCTTCCTTTGGAACACAGGCCAGAAACAGGTTCCTTTGCAGGTTTGTATGCTTCATCTGTGTGGAACAATGTATGAAAATGGAAAAAAAAAATTGTCTAAGTGAAACTATGCTAACAAATGAAATAGTAAATCAAGTAAAATGCACATAAAGGACGACGACGTTGTACTTATTTCTGAAAAGGACAAAATCCCTGGTTACTTGCTCTGAATTCATGTCCCATAAAACATGTACTGCAACAGACAGAAGCTCTCATCACATACTTCTCTTAACTCTCTTACCTTCAAAATAAGAGCTTCAAAGCCAGCAGAAAGGAGCTGACACTCACTTCAGTTGGTATTAACGGCAACAGAGCTCTCAGATCTCCCCTCCATTTGAAAGTCTCAGCACAGATGTTCTGCACTTGTGCTGTGAGCGCAGTGTCCTCGTGCCATACCAACGTGCCCCATACCTTCCAAGCACCCCTGGCACTTAGCAGGGGTGTCTCAAAAATTTTACAAGGACTCTGAAATGGTTAAACACTATTAAAAAGAAACGTGTCTAAATAGCACCGTGGTGGTGAGATAAACTAACAAAAACCAGGAAGACTACAAATAACTGGGTGTTTTTATCACTTTGCCAGCTTTAAAATCGCTTAAAGGCAACTAGGCTTACTGCAACTCACTTGTAGAGGGTAAGAGGTCCTGCGACATACACAGGAGCTCACTGCTGTAGTTCAGTGGTCTGCTCTGGACAGGAATCTCCTCCTGCAGTGCCATCTCTATACCTGGAACTGGGTGGAAGCAGGATGGAGGTTAAATCTTAACTGCATTTACTAGCTCTGTACTTTCCACTCCACTTCAGACCTTTAACATGATATTAAAGTCGACTTGATACGTGGAGCATTCATCAGTTTATGTAACAAACCTTCCAAAATACCCTCTTCAGTTTAAATCTGCTCCAGAAGCACAGCAAAGAGGAACAACGAGAACACATTTAGGTGGCTCTGTTGTTCCCCTGCCTTGCCTGCTCAGTGGCACAGCTAAGCAGGAGCAGGAGGGAACCCACACTTCAGTGGGAGTCATGCCAGGAAGCAGCAGGCTCTGGGGGGAGAGGAGCAGCTCACAGCCCAGCAAGGGTGTGGATACCTCGGCTCAGAGCAGGAATGCTGCTGGACAAACACTCCCTTGAGAAGCTCTCGTTTGTGCTTTTACTATTTTTTTTTCTTGCTTTTTTCCCCTTTGGGTAAAACAAGCACAGACATTGGGCCAGATTCATAGGCAGGGTAAATGGAAGTAATTCCCCGAAGCCAATTTACATCCGTTGCTTACAGTTCAGTTATTCCAAGTGCTGTCCCTTTGCATATCTTGCAGTAGCACTTTAGCATTTCATTATAAAGTCAACAAAACCTTTGAATTACTTCAAGCAAATAGTGCCAAACGTAGTATTACCAGTTATTTTATACTATCTAAATAAAGGGCGAGAGAATACCTGACATTTAACTTCCACTATAGCATGAAGTAGTTTTGTTTTTCCTGCACAAAAACACCAAACAAGCCCTTAACTCTAGATCATTCCTTCTCATCCCATGGCAATGAGTTCTACGTATACACTGCTGCATGAGAAAAAACTATTTCTTTTTGCACCTGACCCCTTTCCAGCTTTGTGTCTGATATCAGGAGATTTGACTCTAGTTTCCCTTGAGTAAATTTTCTCTTTTCTTGTCAATGCCATAAACAGAGTTTTGGAAGCAGACTATTAGCAGCAAGCTGTCATAAAGATAATAGCAAGAAGGAAGAAATAATGTTGACAGTTCCTGTGCTTTTCCCAACCACTGGAGCTGGGAGTTTTCACTTATTTTGATCAAGGCCAGCAATAAAGCGAACCTTGCTTCCAAAAACAGGTCAGGCAGCAAAACTAATGGGCTCCTTTGGGACATGAAAATTTTTACTCATACTTTCCCTATTGCCCAAGAACAAGCGTGGTCTGTGCCACTGTGTTAGTCTCATAAATACCTGCTGTCCAAGCATGGGTTTTGTCATCTCTTGCACAGATGTCAAATGAGGACTGACTCCTCTCACATATGTAGTTCTCTGCCAACGTGCCTGACATAGATTTTACCACTAGATTACAGAAGAGTTTGAAATAAGGGTGAGACAGGGAAACAAGCAGACAGCACTGAGCCTAGCTGTGCTGCCTGCTGCTGAAAAGGCTCCTCCAGCTCACTGCTCTTCTCAGCACACAGCACTTACTGCAGCTTCATTCAAGCAAAGGAATCCAACACCACAAGAGCTGGATAGATACCTCCTGTCCCACCATGCCTTCCTTCTGCAATCATGCTGCCACTTGCTGGTATTCACCACTCCATGTTCAAAGTTAGCCATGGCATTTAGCAGGGGAAAAAAAAAAAAAACAGGATAATTTCTTGATGAGAACAATACTCAGCAAAACAAAAATTAACATGAAAACTGTCTATTAGAGAACAATTGGATCTTTGAGAAATGAACCCAGGCTTCTGGACAGCCTCTGTTCTAGTGCAAGCCTGTACATATCAAATATCTGTGTTTGACACTGAGGTTACATTAATCTCTTTCGGGTAGTAAAATCCAGCAATTCCTGTTAGTCTCAGTATCTTCCCTAGATTTTCTTGTAGAACAGAAAACAAATAATGACATTGCCAGAGCACTTGCAGTTCTTTCGAGTTTTTTAAGGTTTGGTCAGTTGAAATAATGAGAAGGGAGGGAGGGAGGGAGGGAGCAATGATTTGGGATTTTAGGGTGTTTCTTTTATTGGTGTGATTAGTTTTGCAATACAAGCTCTGGATAGTTTCAGAAAGTGTATCCTGGCTGAAAAAAAAGCAGACAAAATGAAAGGAAATTAAATATGGGTGTGAAATTAAACTAAAAGAAAGTAAAAGAACAGGAAAGAAAAGCATTTACTTGGGCTAAAAGAGAGAAAAGCTGGAAAACAAGACACAGCTCTCTAAACACTCAAAAATATGTTTAAAAGGTTTCCTGTAAAAGCAGAGAGTTTAGGAAACTCTGAGTACATTTAACTGCATTCCTTGATGAAAGAAAAAAAAAATCACAGTGAAGCCTTCACCACACTATTCAAACTGGGGATTTCGATGAGAAGTCTGAAGCAAAAGCAGAAGTGTGTAAAACGTTTCTTGTTTCACAATGCCTGGGAGAAAAAAAAAAAATTGGTTCATCCTTTGCAGAACATGTTGGGGACAGTAAAGTTTCCTTGTCTTTTCATCTTTGGCTTGAATTTGGGCAGAGAAAACCGTATCTCTCTGAGTTCTATGTTACTTGACACAAAATGATCCTTTCCCACCTCTTCACCAACGATGCAGTCATATCTCTGTGTCCATATATCAACCATCTCTAATTCAGCCTGGAATTTATGCTGATTAAGGCAGAAATCTTGTGCTTCTGAACCAGATCTGTGCTTGCAGTCTCTTGAAGTTGGCTCCTCGTGAGCCCCTGGGCCAAACTCATCGTTTGCAGAAGGCTAATGATAGGAATATAATGGATACATTTTTCAGTACAGCTGCTGTGGACATTTTACTGCAGCATGTAAAAGTCAAACAAAGCACATTTTCTGCTGGATGATCTATTTTTTGTTGGAATGAAGCTGCTCGGTTCCAAAGCATGCCAACAATCCATCGTTTCACGCTGCTCTACGGTAATGCAGCTATGGATATTGAGACAGATCTGATCCTACAGTGCTAAAAGCACGTGCAGTTCTCCCCTTAGCAAGCTATGGTACCATGACTTCCTTCAGCTTCCAGCTCTTGGAGTCAGTTGACCAAAGTGAAAGATTAGCTTATATGTTTTTTCCCTCCCTCCCTTAGAAAAAAAACCATCTTTAGGTGAATAGAAAGGCCAATTTATCACCTTTCACTGCCCTCATTTGTTAGCATTTATAACCTGAAGTGTTCAGATTCATGATTTGTTTTTTTAATTCCTGGAGTTAGAATCTCATCAATTCTGCCAACATTAATGCAGTTTCTTCAGATTAATACTACAGTTGTTATCAAAAGCACAGTTCAAAAACACTTTTGTGTACAAACCTATTTTCCTACTGGAAATCTTCTGCTTTCCTGTTGTTTTAAAATCCACTGGTGTTGAGATGTCTCTCCCTAAATGTGCTTTTACTTATGCCTTAAATCATTTCCCTGCTCTATCCTGGTGTTTTATAGGAAGAAAACTGATATTACATATGAATCACAGAATAATGTGCCTCCTACAAAAGACATCACTCTATTAGGAACACATTTTAAGTGGCACATTTACTGTGCATTTAATTTTCATTTACAGTATGTGCTCTGCATCCAGCACACTGCCTATATCAGTTTTAGTTTTCATAACCTATTCCTGACACCTAATACAAGCTGGGAGTGCTGCTCCAGGATTTGGCAAGAAGGAACAGGTTGTGGATGAGCAGGTTTCTCTGACTCACCAACACGGATCAACAAGGAAAAATAAAAGGGAGAGCGTGGAGATTGCAAAGGGAAGAAAAAAGAGAGCGTGAGGGGGGAGTGACGTGTTTCTGTGGATGCGGTGTGTAATGCAGCTGGCAGCATGCCTGCTCGCAGTGCCACTGAGTTCCAGACATGCCAGCCCAGCTGACTCAGCTCTTAGGAAGAAGGAAAGAGGAGGGAGAATTTCGCAAACGTTTCTGATTGCCAAGAGATGGAGGTTGCTGGACTCTCCTCAAAGATTTTCAAAGCTATCTTTTGCTTCGGGGATTCGACTGGTGCCCGCGGAGAGGTACAAGAGAAAGATACTCACTCAATAATCTCATACAGAACTGCTGTTATTGAATCATGCCTCTACAGCTGCTGGAAACCCAGCAGCACAGCTCCGGCCCACAAAGCAAAAAGTGTCAGCCTTTCCTGGCCAAAGCTAGCTGCTCTTAGACAAGCCACTGTCTCCAAGGAGACCAGCAAAGCGCATGCAGCTGAAGGGTATCCAAGTGAGAGAGAGTCTATGGCCCGTGTCGCTTTTCTATATAAAAATTTCATCATCAGTTTCTCACCACTGCATCCTTTATGTGTGATTTATTTACTAGGAATAGCTCCAAGCCCTTAAAGGGCTCTGCCTGTCTGAGAGAGCCGCTCTGTCCCATGCATTTCAGAGCAGCCCAGGTCCTGCATGGCTGTGGGGGTGAAAGACTGTGCTTTTCCAGGCTTCCACTCCTAACTGAGAAGAGGTAGGAGCAAGAAAATAGCTATTTTCTAGCACTAAGAACTGCAACACAGACAGGCTAAGGCCCACACTGTCAATAGGCACACACAGCCCGTAATTCTCATTGAAATCAAGTAGACCTCAGTGCTTTTGAAGATAAGAGCCAACGTGAACCGGGTCCAAAATCAGCGCTAGGAACTGAGCTTGTCTTAATTCCCTCATCAGGATCCTCACCACAGGCTTGGCCCTAAGCCTTTCCAGGGCACATGAGAGCATTCAGGCTGGCCTGAGTTCCCCCAGAGGGGACGGAAGGACACACATGTGGGGAGCACGTTCCCCCATCCTCTACTCTGATCAACTGGCTCTCCAGGCAGAAGGAGCCTCAGGACAGCAGCATCTCAGTTGCCTGACCCCACAGCTCCTGCTGACCAACACAGCCCCTCAAACTGCTCACACACTCTTGCATACTTAACGTGAACAAAAGGAGCAAGGTTAAGGCACAGGCTTTCCCAAAAGGCAATGCTGTGCAGCACACAGATAACTGTGTGGCTGGGGAGTGCCCTGGCCAGGTGCTCTTTGTCAAAGTTTCAATAGGCAGGGC